TGAATATTCATAAAATATGTCACTTGGTCGTTTGTTGACCACTGGCTTTAAGCTCTTTTGTTTTTCCAGCAGTGTTCAGCCAACAATCTTAGTTATGTTTGGTTGACAACTAGCTGCTGCCCAAAGTCTTCAATTCAATTAAATTCAATTTCATTTTATTTGTATAGCGCCAACATAAACAGAAGTTATCTCAGACACTTTTCAATAGAGCAGTCTAGACAACCTTAAACATATTTACGAGAGGCAACAGTACCACATGAGGCAAGCACCTTGCAACAAAGGCAAAAGAAAAACTGGTCTTTAACTCTCTTCTCACAGATAATGTGGTGAGCTGATGAGATTCAGTCTGAAATCATGTGTGGATCTCGCAATATCTTCAGGGTTTCACAGTGTTTTCACTATCACACAAACACACCAAGTCAGAAGCTGTTTACCCTCCGGAACTCACTCGTTTATCCATCTCTTACCCACAACATCAACAAGATTTTCATTTTCTTCGTGCTTGAGGTCAGGTTATACAACAGATCGTTGTCTTGTTTTTTTGTTGTGACAAGCCATCATTCATTAGAATTTGATTAGATGATAATCATGATCGTGTGTGATTATGGGTTGATGCGCCATAAGACAAATTAGTTAGAGAAAACAGCACAAGAGATGAACAAAATAGGCTAAATCCAATCAAATACAGTACATGTGTTCAATTTCACTTAAAGGGCCATAAAGTGCATCGAAGAGATAAAATTCATCATTGTGCTGGAAAGAAGTGTAGAATTACCACAGTAGGGGTTCAGCTAGTCGGATTGTAAATTATGTTGACATCTTGTCCAACTTTATCCATTTATGGTCCCCAGAGGATGAAACCTTCTGACTTTTGGGATCCCTTGATCCCCCCCTACCTCCATCATGAGGTCCCCTCTAAGCGGCAACCTCTGTTGCTGCAAATGAAGCCAGCACAGAAGTAACAATAACTACAGTTCCTCTAAAAGCCACTTGAGGCTGGCTCCAGCATTGAGTTAATCTCTATAAGGCTCCATATTAAAATGCCCAACAGAACAGCAGAAATAAACGTGTTCACAGCCTGGTACAAAAAATATTTTGGTCTCTATAACTAATGTTCACTTTACGGGGATGATTTTTGCCCATTTTTCAATTAGGCGGGTGCCAGAGCTGACCAGACTGTGCTTCACCACTGCTCGTCATGGAATCTACTTCCATTTTAAATATATACAGTCCATGATCTCAACATCTACTGGATGGATGGCAGCATTCATGTTTACTGCAGGATGAATTGTAATAACTTTGGCGATCCACTCAATTTTTGTCTAGTCTGTTAATATTTTTATTGTGAGCATGTTAGCATGTTGACATTAGCATTTAGCTCAAAGCAATGCTGCAAGTGTTGCCAAAATCAGTCACCACGTGCTCCCTACTTTCTGCCATTTTGAGAGTCTTAGATTTAGGGGCGGCTGTGGCTCAGGAGGTCAGGCAGGTCATCCAAGTGTCCTGTCCAAGATACTGAACCCAAAACTGCTCCTATATGCTCCTATATAGAGATGTAGATGTACCTGTGTGTGTGTGGAATTAATTGGTGTCTGTATGTTACAGTCATGCTGGTACACATTGAGTAGGGATGGAAGATGTTTTTATTACGACGCGTGTGTATATCGGAAAAACTAACATGTTTGTTTGTCCTCTGTTGTGATTGCAGGCAACCAGACAAACTAAGAGTGGTGTGGATCAGGAGGAACAGACGTCACAGCACAAAGGTAACAAAGCAAAGAAGAATGAGACGAGGTTCATTCATTCAAATCAACCAGTTGTGTCTACCAGGCTCCTGGATTAGAAATGGCTTAAATGCTATGAAATACTTTCTGGATTGTGATAGTTCGAGGAGGATAAACTTTCCTTTTGTCTCATTTTTAAAGTGTGATCTGCAGAGGCTTAAATACAGTCCATAGAAACTGTTGAGATTGAATCCCTTGTGACTGTTATCTTCTCTGTCAGCTTCACAGCTGGCAGCCAGGGATTAAAAACCCCTATAGAGGCCTGGTGGTTTGGCAGGTTCCAGAGAGTTTAGACATCACTGTCACACTCTTCAAGGTATGAAGTTAAGATTCTATGTAGTTGCTGCTAGGGTTGCAGCAGTGAGAGTTTTTTTATGGTATGATAAAACAGTTACGTTACACAGTTAATATTATCATCAGTTACATTGACCGGTAAAGGCAAAAATACTTTTTACTTTATTTTAATTTCACAAAATATTATGGCCTATATTTATGACACTTATATGTTCAAAATTGTAGATAGGCAAATATATACAGTATGATAACTGTCAATTTTCTTACGTTATACATGGTAGCAGTATACTGCTGCAACCCTAGCAATGGCTGATGTGAAAATGTGGGATGTGTAAATGTGTAATTTCATTATCTAAACTGCACGAGGTAACTTTTATAAAAAAAAGTTTACAAGAATTTTCTTTAAAAAACAGAAAACATGCGTATATTTGTTGAGTAATGCACAGAAAATCTATAAAAATAAGAAGTAAAAATAAAAACAGAAGGAAGAATATGGGGAAAAGGATGTGAAACTCATGAAACAAGAAAAGACATGCAGCTACATAGATTAAAAAACCCAAGACTATTTTTACTAATATGTTTGCATCAATGCCATGACTTGCTACAAAACTGTGATCTGTCCAGTTCTACCTCTTCCCCCACAAGGCGTTAATTTTAGCTGCCAGCTAGTTGTAGCAGTCAGTGGGTTACAGAAACATTGGGCAAAAATAAAATGTTATTATTGTGTCATCTTTGGCAGTTATTATAGAAACTAGATGTTTTTTTGTATATTACAAGACATCTCAGTCTCTCTCACTCAGTCTCTCTCTTTTTTGGTCATTTTGTTACACACTGTTCTTAAGTCCCCTTCTTTTTATTGCCTTTATTATAGTGACAACTGAAGATAGACAGGAAAGGGGGGGCAGAGAGAGGGGATGACACGCAGCAAAGGGCCGCAGGTCAGATTCGAACCCTGGGCTGCTGCAGCAAGACTTCCAGCCCTCGTTACCATAGGGTTTTCGGCGCAGCCCTTCGGGGGACCCAACTTGAGCTAAACCCGGTTGCACCCTTCTTCTTTTAGGAGTGAGAGGCCAAACCCAGAAAAAATTGTTATTTAAAGCTCAAATAAGGTAAATTTCCTGGGACGTCTGAACATCGGTTTAAGGCAATCAAGTAATTTTTTGTCTGTCAACAGGACCTACCTGGCAGAAGGAGTTTTTGAAGACAAGGACTGGACATTTTGGTCATTGAACAATTGTGGAGTTTCTACTTATTTCTGTGTAATTCTTATGTTGTGATTTATTTAATTTACTATATTAAAGTTAAAGTACTATCATTTTAGGAATCAAAAAAATAAAAAAAAGTGGCATAACGGTATATAATAGGTCAACATCTTAAGTTACAGCTAGGATAAGGCTAGTTGTTTTGTTAATCCATTACAAACTTCAAAGGATTGTGGACTATATGTGGCATTTAACTCCCCCCCCCAACATAACCCAACATATGTAAAGTTAAAACATCAATAAAAATTAAGCTAATGTGGCTAAAACTTAAGCCTAACGGGGATTCATGTTAATTTTAGCTAGCCTAAAGGTTAGCTTTGTGGTTTCAATCCATGTATAACCTGAAAATAAGAATTCAATCATGTTGTTATCTAGCAATGAGCTGGTTTTTTTAATCAAAAGGAGGCATTTGGGTCCTCTTGCTATGGCGGCAGGTTCCGGGCCATGGTTTGAACCACCCATAGTTTCTAACAGTAAAGCTTTAAGAAAACAGACCAAAAACCCAAAAAACCCAACTTTAGGCCTTTGGTTAAGAACTAGGGGCCTATGGACAACTTTACCGGGAACCACCCTAAGGGTTTTCTTCCTAACACAATTTTGGGAAGGGGAGGTGAAGCAAGGAGTATTCAAGGTTGGTAATGAAACCCCCCCCCCCCAACATAGGGGGGGCCCAACCACAACGGAAGTACTTTTGTCGGAAATCCGCATACAATATTTTTTTGTTTCGCCCTTTCGCCGGTCCCCAGAAACGGATTCCGGTGGCCTTTTTTTCGAGGTGTGGAACTGTATTTTTTTCCGAACCCGGGACAAGAACTGGGGTACCAAGATGGGCGAAAAAATCCTAAAAAAAGTAACGCGCGCGAATAAGCCGGAGTCGTCGCTGGGCACGGCGAATGGGCAAAGAATTTTTTCGAAAACCAATGACGTTATTAAGGCCCCGCCTGTCTTAAACCTTTTGACCTTCAAGGCCCCCAACTGTCGCTAGGGAACGGCCGTCTCATAAACCCCCCAAACGACCCAAAACAACGCGGCAGACTACCAGGCTTGGGTTGGCCACCCAAGCGCGTAGACCCTTTATTGCACGGGCTCCCGGTAGGCTTCTTATTTCGGTTTAGAAGGTGTTTTATTGGTGTGGCCGGCGCCACCATAACAGGCCTGCATTCCTGTACTACAGCGTTTTGGGCCGTGTTTACGGAGATTTTTTTCGAAACGACAGCGTATTGGGTGAGGCTGCGTACTCGTGTGGACAGGGCCTAAGTCCTGCAAACTGGTCCTTTAATTGGAAAGCTCAGATGGACAATATATTCTTAGGGAGAACTTGTGTGTCAATTTTGATTTTCTTGTCCTTTGGTTTTATTCATTAGGAGACAAAAGGCCGGAGGAAGGTGTTGGCATCAGCTGATATCAATATGAAGAAGTTTGCCAGTGCCACACCGGGCCAGTATGATGTAACACTGAAGCTCAAACCTCTGTCCGTAAAAGTGGTGGAAGCCACGCTGAAACTGAACTTGTCTTGTATCTTCCTCAAAGAAGGCAAGGCCACGTAAGTCATCAGCCCAACAGCATGTGAATACTATTTACTGAAGGCTGTATAGCTGTATCACAGAATTTAAAGCAGTCATTGATACAAAGGTTGGACCAGTATGGGTTATTGAAGACCAATGCTGATGTTTTTCCTCCTCCCCACAGAGATGAGGACATGCAGAGTTTGGCCAGTCTAATGAGTATGAAACAGAGCGACATTGGAAATCTGGATGACTTTAACGACAGCGATGACGAAGCTGGTGAGGAGAGGAGGGCCAGCTTTGGACAAGCTACTCATGTTTCTGGTAAGACTCGGGGGTGGCATGCACTTGAGGATCACTGGGGTGAATTAACCAAATCAACATGCAGCTGCAGCCTGAGAACAGTAGCTGGCAGATATAATTGCAGTTTATGGGTTATCACACATTTAGTGGGCAAAGTGGACAGCTGGTCTGGGGTCCCTGATCAAAGATCACTGTGTTGCATTTGTAGTTTGATTAATTGCATATTTGTTTGGTAATACTTGATCTATCTATAAGAAAATGCACTGTAGGCGGTCATTAAGGAGAGCAGCGTTGCAGGTGGAGTTCAGTAAAAAAAGGATCAGATTTGTAGCCTGGCTAAAATGACATTTTTCTGTTGTACACCTCCAGCTTTTAAGAAAAACTCAAACCTCAAACCACTTTTTTTTTAACTGATAACCTATGTATATGGATATTTAGTGGTGTTGTTGATTGATTCAAATCTTTTGTGCAGAGTATAGGAATTCTACATATTGTGTTATAAATATTCATAGTAACCTCCCTCTACTGGTTGAATTGCAATTGAATTTCGCTATAAAACCTTTTTAAATTCGCGGAGGAAGGGAGCTAGCATAATTTAGGGGTTTCACACCTACTGTAAATACCATTTTTTTCTGTATTTTAATGCATATATTTTATGTGATGTAAGGTAGGCTCGCTAGGTACATGATATCCTGCCTTGTCAAATGGCCAGATTTTCAATATACTGAAAACCGTAGTAAAAGTAAATATTGTAATGTCATGTTTGTGTTGTGATTCTTTCTTAAGACGATGTCCATGCTAATTTCAACATAACACATAGCTATTAGCGTACCAACACCAGCTCTACCCTGCACATGCTTCCAAACAAATTTATACCAAATAAAGTGTAACATTTAGCAATTTAGCAGCTTACAGACTACAAGGTAAAATTTTTGTTCCTTTTCACGCTTTTTATTTATGTTTGAACTGTTTTTCTCAGACTGCTGCTTCCTATTTTTGTTTCCTGTTCAAAACTCAGTTCCCTTTTCTCTTAACCTTTCTGTCTGCTGTGGCTTTTTCTTTCTATAACAGCTTCTGCCACCAAAGTACATGACCTGGCTTGGAGGCCTGTAATTGAATCAGGCCCCACAGGTAACTTTCTGTTCTCTTCCACCTTCCCTTTCTAAAATCCACTTTTTCATCCTATTCCCCTTTTTACTTCCACTCCTTTGGTCTCACTCATTAGTGATTTCTCAAATGCTACAAAAACTCATTCCCACTTTCATCTGTACATATGTATTCTGTATTTTACTGCTCTTATCTCCCCCTCTATTTATTCTTCTGTTCTCTCAATCTTTCATTTAATCTCCCCCCGTCTTTTCTCCTCACCCTGTCCATCCATTCATCTCATCTCTTATCTCTCAACCAGTAACCTCAGAGATGGATTGGAAAGCGTCCTCTGGCATTTCTTCCACCATCTCGGTTCCATCTCGTCCTCCTCTGAACGAACCCCCAGACCCCTCCGTTCCATCCTTTTTAAGCACGCGACTACCAAGTGCTACCCAGCAGGCTCGGCCCTCCCCCTATGCCTACTCATTGCCAGCCTTTACACGTGCTCACCCTCCTGCACTTCCCAAAATCTTCCAGCCCAGTGCCGGATCAGGTATCTGTCAACAGATATTCCTCACCCTGTGTGGTCTCTTTAGGGTTACATTATTTGGTAGATTTGTCAATTTTAGTAAAGACTTAAATTCATACCACTCTGTATGGTTGCCAGGAATATTACATGCATTTGATAATGATTCCAAGCATCCTGTTGCACCAGTTCTAAGTCCGTATGTTAAAGTGTCCTGGAAAACCTGGGCATTTAGAGACTAGTTTTGCAGTCATGAAAATGTATCAAATATCCTGGAAGTGTTGTTGTGAAAAGTTTTTATATTATTTTAGCGTGTGCTGTGGCCACATCAATATTTCTGTTAGAGGAAAGCTTCAGTCAATAGACCTTTTTCACAGCAGCCATTTTGACATTAAATAGTAGGGTAAACGCAGGGGTTACCAATGATAATCATTAAGGTTATGTTGCTTTAAACAGAGTATGGAAATGGAAAGGCACTGCTACACTAAATGGAACAGAGCCTTTATTAGTTTTAGTGGCCATTAGTATCAACAGTAGTAGCAGTGGTAAAAAAAAAAAGGTCTGGTCGAATAGTCTTTTTCGCCTTCTAACTGAGTGAGAGGATCTGGAAGTATTTGAGTGGCAGCTGTTATAAGAGCTGTTCAAATTCTCTAAATGCTGAGGAAAGGAGCTTCAGTGCTATAAACGACCAACAAAGGAAGCTGATGACCTTCTCAGTTACTGTCCTGTTTTTATCCAATGCCATAACTTGTTAATATACTTCTATGTTTTGAACCTAAGCAAAGGCCGACTGTGAGCACAACTGGTGTAAAATCTACTTGTTATGAAATTGGTGGTCCTGTGTATAGTACTTTGTAACGTGTATAAACATTATTATATTAAAATGACCAAAGTGAAGTTAGTAGCGTTAGCATTGGTTATTCCTCATTTTGGGCTTTGTTATATCGCAGCCTTTAGGAATATCATTGAAATAATTGAATTGTTCTTCAGTCACACATGAAACTTTCACAATGAGTTTTTTTGCCAAGTAGGTTTTCACATAAAGGAATTTGCCTTGGTATATTGGTGCATAACAATAAACACAGGAAAAGGAAAACAAGAAGCATAAATAGACAAATGGGAAATTAACAATAATATATAAATATAATACAAATATATATTTGTATTATTATTATTAAGACAATAATAGACAATATGTACAATATGGCTTTTTTTTTTAAATATAAGATGTACAGTTTGTGCAGGAATGAGTAAAAAATCACAGTATTAAGTATAAAAATATTTGCAATGTGCAGTAGAAGATTATGATATGTAAAGCAGATTAGTATGACTGTAGTCTGTATTCCTTTTTTATTTCAATTCCAACCTTGGCAATGAAGTCATATTTTTCACCGGTTGTCTGCGTGTATACAGCCTACATGAAACAACACAGTAAGAATGCAGAAGTATCCAAAATGCGCTTTTTGTAGTCCATCTTCGCAATGTAGTTTCACCACAGCAGACACACGTCATCAACATCTGTTGCTGCATAATTACGTAGCGTAATTTTGACAATTCGACCTCTGGGTTCCTCTGGTTCCTCCTGGTGCTCCTAATGGCATTTGCAAGAATCCACTGGGCCTGAATGAAATCAATCAAAACAACCAATCAGAACTGAGAAAGATACTTGATTGTCTCATTCCAGGGTCATCAAATATATATGCTGGGAATGAGACAACAATCAACTATCTTCAAGCCACCAACCCAAAGCATCTTGCCATTAGGAGAGCCAGAGGAACCGGGGTTTTTTTACAGATTAATCTTGTCTCATGTACTACTTGTCAAGGAATATAGTGAAATTTCAAATATGACAAAAAGTTACCTACTGCAGCTTTAAGTGTGAAAGCTGACGGAGAAGATGAAGTGTGCAGATTCAGCTGCTTTCATCTACTTTGATCTACTGTAGCAGGGTGGTCATGTAGTTTAGTGAGATGAGTGAGGGATATCACTATCAGGGTTAGAGTTCAGGTCTGGATAAAAGCCTTTAAAGCTGCTGTAATGGTTCTGGATTTTTCAGTGTAACTGTTAAAGATATAGACCTAGGTTCTTAATTAAGTAAGTAGAAGTCCACGTCTTTAAAACACGTGATCTGAGTTATGTAATATGGTATGCATTTTTAATTGATTTTAGGCACCTCCTGCTGTGTTGATAAAGTCCAGATACAACACGGGAATGGATATTATGTCGCTGCCAAGAAATGATCTGACTGCCCTCATTTTTAATCCTCCCCCTTACCCAGGCCTATAATATTTATCATCAGTATGCATTTGCCATTCTTTTTCAATGAATTGTTCCATTAGCATAGCAGCACTCTGATGTCACAGTAAATTCATGTGCAGAAATGCATCTGGCTTCTCTCCACATCCAGACCCCTGTCTGTTTCCAGGCCAGTGTAGTTTAGTAGATTGCTCTGGCAGACTACTGATAGTTTGTTGCTTCCTAATTTAGGATGGGAAAGCTTATGTACATTTTAGCTATACTGTATAGCAATGTTGAATGAAAGGATTTTCTTCTAGACTAATGTTGATTTGACGGCGGTACCAGGATCCAGGACGTGGTTCTTGCTTGATCTTGCTCTTGGAAAGAAAGCAGATACACATATTCACCAAAATGATGAACTCTTCCTTGGAGGCTAAAAAAATGACAAAACCACTGTTAATATTTACGTTTAATTTAGAAAGTGTGTTCATTAAAGTAGGGAAAGACAGATTTAAGTACAAGTTTCCTGTAGTACAGTCCTGATTCTGATGTTGCCAAACCAATATATTATAGATGTCTATTTGTTTGTTTCTGTTCTCTGTTTGCACTTTGGTTGGCTTTTACCATTCTGTGTATTTTAAGTTTCACTCACCATTTTTCCAATTCTTTTGTTTTGTCTTCTCACCCTCCCCTTTCCTCTTTCCTCCTACTTTTCTACCACTTCTTGTCTGTGCTCTATCTGCTATCTTTTTTGTGCCTGTTCCAGCTCCTCGAAGGCCCCATAGCTTCCACAGTGACTCCTCTCCAGCTGAGGGCTTGGAAGCCCTTTCTTTCTCTATCTTCACTCCTTCTAAAGCCCTCTCCACCTCTTCTCTGTCTTCTTCGCCCTCTGATCCGTCTCTCCATCCTCCTCCCACTTCCGGTGATACCTCACAAACAGGTATCACATAATTCAGTTTAAAATTGTGATTGGTTTCTAATTTACATTGAAATAGCTTAAGACCAAATACAATCCATATCTATACAGTACATCTGATACTGTTTATTGGTCTTTGATATGCTGTACAGGCTAATGCTGCATTCACATTCATGGAAAAAGACAGACAGAAGCTCCTACTTCAAGAATACCATTCATTCAACTTTTATCCAATAAATATCTCTAGAAAAGAGATAATTAAACTGGCCCTGTATGACATTATTGGAGAATTTCTTAGCACAGTTCTGACCAATATTGCTATTTAAAGGACCAGTGTGTAGGATTTAGTGGCATCTAGCGGTGGAGTTGCAGATTGCAACCAGCTGATTAACATTTCATTTAACATGAAAAGGTCCTATCTAGAGCCCATGTTTGGTTTGTCCATTCTGGGCTACTGTAGAAACCTGGCGGACTCTGCCAGAAGAGAACAAACTCGTTTGTAGACGAAAACAGCTCATTCTAAGGTGACAAAAACACAATGATTTTTATTTTCAGGTGATTATACACTAATGAAAACATAACTACGAACATTATATTCAATTTAAGCCAATAGATCTTCCTAAATGTTACCCACTGAACCTTAAAATGTTGGTTATTTTTCATCAATTAGTCAGTAGGCATCTGTTGGTGGTTTACATGGTTTTAAACAAAAAACAAAAAAGTAAGCTAACAGGCACAGGTTAATATTAGCTAGCGTTTTTCTACAGAGCAAAACACAATAACTAGCTAGCTAATTTACATAAACTGTTAGTTAGCTAACATTTGGCCAACATTAGCTTACTTATAATATGACTATATATGTCCCTTTTCACTTCACTGTTACAGCTATTGTACTTGTTTACAGTTTACTAACATTGAGGCTCTTTGTTGCAACCTCATCAAAATTGCTATCTTTCAAATCGCAATTTTGATGATTAGTCTTAGTTTGCTTTTGTTCTACCATTTTTCATCACTACCCTCTTTTTCTTTTCTTCTGTTCTTTCCATTTTCATCTCTCAGTTTGTCCCAGTGGCTGGAGAGCACAGAGTGTTCCTTCCTTTGCTTCTGTCCCCTCTTCCTCCTCATCTTCAGCTCCTCTCAGCTCCTTCCCTCCCATACCTCCACCACCTCCCTCTCGCAGACAGCCCAAAGCTCGCCTCACCTCTGTGGGGGAGCCCTGCTCTGCCCTCACCAGGCCCACAAGTCTGCCATCTGCCCCTGAGACAGGTACAGGGACAGGGGGCGACGTTCTATCCTGTCAGAGGCTAGGTCACACCTTTCAGTTCATACACTTGTTACTGCACCTTCACTTGTGTTTCTCCCTTGTTTGTTTTTCCTTCTTCCTCTTTTTCCCAGCTTCCTGGCAGAGTGAATGGAGGCCTCCCAAATCTCAGGCCCCTCTAGCACAGCCTGCCCTCTCTCCTAAGTTTCTGCATCTCTCTGCCAATGATCCCGGACAGCCTGCAGTGCTGCAGAAAAAGCAGAGAATAGAAATGCAATGTAATGCTGCTCTACCTTTACCTAGCTCTAGCCTGACATCCTCTCCCGTCATTCAGCCTCCTCATTGCACTCTTGTGTCCTTTCATTAATTCACTCTGTTGTTCCTCTTCTCCTGCCTAACATGTGATGTACTGATATGTGGCTTTGATTCATACTTACTGATTCAGCATTTCGATGAGCTTAGAGAGAATATATAATTCTACTGCCAGTCCGACATCGCCAAGAGTTTAAAATATTAAGACTTTATATTATTACTCTTCTTAACTGTGCTTAGTAGTTCCTGCTGTAAGCAGCTAGCGTGGATAAAAGGGGAAAAAATCAATATAAACACATTTTATGAACTGATCTGATAAAAAAGCAATCTCCATGACAACTTAAAGGGTAACAATAATATCCCATACTTTTCTTCTTGTCAACAAATCATGCCAAACCAAACAACTAAGTGATCCTACTAATATTGTATTGTGTGTATCCAAAGCCTGATATATGTTATCCTCACTGTTGCATTGGGTGGCATGTTCCTTCATTACCATGAACACACTGCAGCTTATTTTTACTTAGTCGTAGATA